AGTCGGACACTTAACCGACTGCGCCACCCAGGCGCCCCTGGGAGGACCTCTTCAAACTTACGTTTATTTTTGAAAGCCCAGTTCAGGCAACATTGTGTCTGGGTGGCCCTCCTTCGGCCCGGCCCCGACTCACCCCCTTCCGCGTGGAGCCCTTTCATCGACTAGACTGGAGGCCCCTGCGGGCAGGACCAGCTCTCGGTCGCCTTTGAACCCACGTCCCCAAGCACGGCAGGGGGCACGCAGTGGGTCCTCTGAGACAAGTCGTGGAGTGAAGGGGACACTGCTGAGAGTCACAGGCCACTCACAGGCTCAGCCTTCCAGCCCAGGCTGGATGCTCAGAGCCTCTGTGAGGCCGTCCCGGGATAGCCTGCTGGCACTTTTCACGTATTCTCGTGAATTCTCAGTGAGCCCTTCACGTACATCTGCCCGGCCTCCCCGACTAGAGAGTCAGCCCTTTGAGAGCAGGATTCCCCTGAAATGTCTTCATACCCCTAGTGAGCCTCCCACATCACCCTGAATAATGCAGGAGCACAGCTGCTAATTCTGCTGATTGGTGGCCGACGGGCCGGAGGCTCCTTCCCAAGCAAGCTCACGTCCGGGTTCGGCTGGTTCCCACTCTCTGGGACAGCGCTTCCCCCAACTCTGTGATTCCTCAGAGTGTCCAGCCCTGAGCCTCAAAGCCTCTGCGCTGGAAGGCAGCCTGGTGTTCCAGAAAGAGGGGTCAAATTGGCCGTAGCGTGAATCTCAGAGGTGCTACTTAATTGCTCTGGAAGTTTGGGTGGCTTCTTAAAAAATCCCTGAGTCTCGGTTTGTTCGTCTGTACAACGGGGGTAGAATTTCTGACCTCAGGGCAGGTGTCGAGATGAAATGAAACAATATACAGGAGCTGAGTTAAAGGGGAATAAATAGTGACTAAATCAAGGATGTTCTGAAGGTCATTCCAGTGTAGCAAGGGTTATAAAACTATATCGGATTTGTGCAACGAAAAGACCTGAATTCCTTCCAAAACAGAAAAGGCCACACTCAGGGAAAGCCGTATGCTCTATGCTGTTTTGTCCCAACCAATTTAACCTGTTTGAAGAGAAAAGTGGGTGATGGGCATGGGGCAAAGTCTGTGACTCGGTGGACCCAATACAATGTGGACTCTGGCCTGACCTTACGTCCGGGTGTCCTGTTGGGCCAAAATACTCACAGAGGCCTGCAGCTCTTGGGAAGGGAAGGGCAAATTCGATGTGGAAGCTGTCAGTTCTTCCTGGGGTTCCAAGCAGTGGTCTGTGTGGGTTTCATACGACTCTGGTTACTGGCGTAGACATTGGCCATTTCAGCCTTCCCAAGTGCCGTGAGCCAATCAGGCTGAGGGCACCAGGAGGCCTGGGTAGGAGGCGGGCTGTCCCAGGGACAGCAGTGAGAGGTGAGAGAGGCCTGCCAGACCACGGGAAGGAATGTTGAGAAACTGAGGCACGGAGAGGCCCCTTAATGCTTTTTGTTCTTTAAAACATTTTTGATTGCACACTGATAAAAATATATACATATATGTCATCTTTAAAAAATATATCCACGAGGGGTGCCTGAGTGGCTCAGTCAGTTAAGCGTGTGACTTCAGCTCCGGTCACGATCTCATGGTCCCTGAGTTCGAGCCCCGCGTCGGGCTCTGTGCGGACAGCTCAGAGCCCGGAGCCTGCTTCGGATTCTGTGTCTCCCTCGCTCTCTGCCCCTCCCCTGCTCATGCTCTGTCCTTCAAAAACAAACAAACATTAAACAAACATTAAAAAATTTGTTTAAATAAGAGTTTTCCCAGCTAAGAATGCCTAAACAATATGTATTTCATCTTGCTTCTTTTTAAGCATTGTAAAAAGGACGTTATGCTGTCTGCAGTCTTTTGTAGTATGCTTTTCTCCCTCTACAGTAGGTTTCTAAATTTCAAACTAAGTTTTGGGTGTTACTGGAGCTCTTTGACTTTCACAGCTGTGTCATAGCCCATTGTCCGACGACACCACACTTGGCCGATTCATCTCCCACCAACGGACGGGTGTCTCAGGATGCACACGAGTGACGGGTGACCATGGGGGTGCCTGTCGCACGATGCGCGAGTGTCCCCCTTTGCAAGTCGACACCAAGCTCTTCAAAGAGGTTGTGCTCATTTCTAACTCTCACCTTTGCTCTACATTGTCACTGACGTTTTTGGAATCAAATGGCTTCATTTTTGGCAATCTGGCAGCTGCCAAACGTGATCTGTGGGCTTCCTGTGCAGAGATGGGACCTTTTTAAGGTCCCAGAGCTGGCGGAAGCAGAGGCAGGGCGGGGCGATGCATAGGACACGCATTTGGAAGAACATACGGCCCGCGTCTGGTGTGACTGGTGCAAGTCCCCGACTTGGCCCTTCGGTCCTTCGTGCCCCCCCAGTTCTCTGCCTGAGGCCCAGAGGGCATCACTGGCATTCGGTGACGGGACACATGGCTTAATGGAGCCCCAGCCTTCTCTTCTCTGCCTCCCCTCACCATTCCTTGTGCTCCTCAAATGCGCCCTCCTGGGTTGTGAACGTGCCCGCTCGCTTTCCAGAAACAATGCCGCTTCGTCCAGGAAGTCCCCCTGGCAGCCTCATGAGACCTAGGGTCCGTTTCCCCCCGGCCCTCTCTGTGCCTGAGTTACAGCCAGAACATCTCCCAGCTGTCACTTCAGGGAAGATCAGAAGGTGAATGTTTCCCCTAAATCTATCCAAAAGCCTGGGCTCCTTCCTTCGGCAAAGCAAAGCCGTGAGCACCTCCGCCCACCTCGGAAACCAGACGCGGCAGCCGTGTCCTGGCTGGAACCTCAGTCCTCACGGCTTGGCCTTGCCTGGGGTGAAACCCCACTTCCTCAGGCCTTTACTATAAAGATAAAGGGATCTTAGGACCCCTTCTCCGACTGGAAAACTCTTCCCTAGCACTTCTTCGCCTGACCATAACCTTCCCAGGATTTTTCAGAATCCAGCTCAGAGCTGCTGTCTTCCTGGGCACCTTCCCAGCCTAACTGCCACCACCTTGCTCCCAGCTCATCTGCACGCATTTGGGCCAGAGCAGGGCTTCGAACATGCGTGGGTGAGCCTCTTACCCCTGTCCCACTTGGGACGTGCCACCTGCTACTCTCAGCCTCCTGGGGTTTATGGTGCTCATTAGCATATTAGCATTCATTAGCATAATAACCACACAGGCCCCGCAGGGATGACCCTTGCTTTCATTTGTTTAGTCTGTTTCCCAAAAGTATTGAACTTGGTAGTCCCTTCTCTCTCCCCAAATAACAACTATTACTCATTTGGAAAACACGATCTGGAAGATTCTCCTGCTCCTTTCACGTGTCGGTTTGTCCTTGTGGTCTTATTCTTCTCAGCAATCAGGCTGTGATTCCTCTTGCTTTTTATTTTGTATTTTCTTTTTAAATTAATTAATTGCTTTAGCAATCTCTACGGCCAACGTGGGGCTCGAACTCGCAACCCCAAGATCAAGAGTCGCTTGCTCTTCCGACTTAGCCAACAAGGCGCCTCTCTGACTTATAAAAATCATCCTTTGCGAACTACTTCGGTCCAGAGTAACCACCCCAGAGGGGTTGAATTGAATGAATGCATGTGCTCGGGAATGAGTGAATGAGTGAATGAGTGAATGAATGAATGAATGAATTGAACAGTCAGTCAATTGGCTGGTCATCCAGCTGTGAAGCAGTCAGAAACTGCCGGGTCATTGTATCCTGGGGACACACTGCTATCTGGCCAGTGTCAGACCCTCTCCACAGTGGAATGACTCACTCTCCCGCATTAGGCTCTGGTAATTTTCTTTTTAGGCATCTCTCTCCCGGTGAGACTGGGAGCCCCTGCAGGGCGGGGACCACATCACCTTCACCTCCACCTCTCTGTATTCCCCATAAGTGGGTACACAGTCCCTGGTTGCTGAATGACATCTCTCCTCTGACTCCTTCCAGAGGGATCTAGAACACTGTGGTTAAGCCTGCAGGCTTTGGAGCCAGACTGGATGAGTCTCTAACTACCCGGGTCACCTCAGGCAAATTACTTCATCTCTGCACTTCAGTTTCCCTAGCCAGCTGGGGGTGATAACAGTATCTTCCTTACCAGGCTGTTGGGGGACTATGTGAGTTAATGTGTGTAAAGCACATGAAATATGCCCGACACGGAGGGCAGTGCTGGCCTGTGCTGGCGCCGGGAACCACAGTAACCAGGGACTGTGATGTGACCTCTCCGTGCATCATCTCAGGGACCAGGAATCCGGGCAGCCGGATCAGCTGCGTTACCCCGGGGCACCTCCCCTACCTCCTCACCTACAATCACCCCCACTGAGAACCCGATGGGCTCTTTTACCCTCCGTCCTTCCCAAAAGATGGGAATCCAAGGCACTGCATGGGCGGATTCTAAGTGCACGTGCGCACAGACGAGAGCAAGTGTAAGCGAGCGAGAATGAGTTCTTTGAGAGGCCTGGGGGTTGCCATCGCCTTCGTGGCAGACGCAGGAAAACAAAGATGTTGAGGCAGGACGGGGAGAATACGCAGGAAAAAAAAAATCACCTGTGAATCAGCAATGCTGCAGAACTGGCAGAAGTCAATTTGGTCGTCACCGCCCCCGGCGCCTTGCCCACGGCCCTGTGTGTGCCCAGGAAATGTTTGCAGGCAGGACATCTGTGCTCGCTTTTATCCAGGCAGGTTATCCAGGTGGAAGACGGATGGTTATGAGAGGGCATCAGGACTGGGGGGGCCATCCCTGACGGCTGGGGAGAATATGCTGGAATCCCTTTCCCCACGTGCCAGCTGGCCTTCTCAGACCCTGTAGGCCGACTCCATTCTTCTCCACTTAAGAGGAGAACCCCAGGAGTCATGGGGTTGACTGTCCTCCTTTTTTCCAGAGTGGCCAGGGCTTTAGCCTGGCCATCATCCCGGGTCTCGCGATACAATATGAGTGCGATGGAAGCATGAGGGAAGGGCTGGTGGGATGGCGTGAATGTAGGAGGTTTAAGACGAGCAACGCCACGGGCTGTTTATCTTGGAGCAGAGAAGGTCGGGGGGCTGCATTCCAGGCAGGGGAGCAGCTGCTCCGTCAGCACCTGAGGAGAGGCCATGAGAGCCAAAACGGTGGCTCCGAGGGATGGCGGTGAGCTAATTAGATGAGGTTGCCCATCACATGTCACAAGGCAAAGGCACCCACGAGTGGAAGCAGTCAGTGAGTTTGGCCGAGGGACCGAGAGAAGTGAGGCTAAGAACTGTCTGGCCCGGAAAGAGGAGGGAGTTCCCAGGAATCTATGGGCTGGTCGGTCTATCAAAAGCTTGACTGGTGTGAGAAGTTGCCAAGGGGGTGAATTTATGACTTCCGCCTCTCCGTGGTGGTATAGTGTGTTCTGTGAATGAAGGGGAACCGAATTCCGTGAAGATGGGAAGAGCCCCTTATCACGGTTGGCTGAGTTCTTTGGCCCCTCAGCCCTTGGGATCCCAACTGAACTCCCAGTCTGGGCTACAGAGACCGGGCCTTGGTTTTGTGCCAAATTGCCTTCCAGCTCCAACAGGCTTCTTTCAGGGGGAACGGCCCTGGTCCCCACTTCACTGCCTACAGGGTCTAAACTCGTCAGCTGGGACCTCAGTCCCTGCTTCCTTCCCTCTTTGCTCCTTGGGTTTTGGTCTTTCTGAGTCACATCAATGTCCCAAAAGTCCCCTTCCTCTTCCTTTTCTCTCAGGGCATAAAAATCCACCTCAGAAGACCCCACCTCACCTTCACTTACTCGCCCCCTGTCTGAGGCTCAGTTTCCTTATTTGTAAAGTGGAGACCGTATCCATCTCTCAGGGCTGTTGAGGGAATTAACCAAGGTGCTGGGTGGGGAAATGCTTTCCCCAGTGGAAGGTGCTGGAACGTCTGTCATCTCCCCGGACCCCTCTGGGACGCCTCCTGGGAGAGATCCTGAATTCACATGTCCTGTCTTACCCACAAATCCCTCCAGCCCTCAGACAGAGGTTTCCTTCCCACCGGGGGATGCCTTGAGCGTGGGTCTGGCCCTTTGCGAGATCCAGACAAATCGACTTCAAGAATGGAAGGTCCATTACAGCATGGAAAAGAAGGCAGACCAATAGGCAGGGACCCCAGTGTTGGGTTTACAGCCTGAGTGGCAGGATAGACTTGAGTACAAATTTCCTTCTCCTCGTCTCCCAGCCCTCCATCGACATGCTCCGTACAGACTCTGTCCTGAGAAACGTGTCCCCTCGTTGCTTTATGAGCCACTCGGTGCCACCATGTCCTAGCTGCATGACCCCAGAGAAGTTTGCTCAGCCTCTCGGAACCCATGTTGTTCCCTGTCAGATGGGGGTAATTATAACCTCAGTGGGTTCTTTGGCAAATTAAACGATATATTCTACGTAACGTGCTTTACATGGCTCCTGGCACCAGCCAGGTCTCCATAAATGTGAGCTATTATTATTCACAATAATAACCAGTCTGAGCGCCCCAGTAACTTGGTCCCCTCACTACCTTACTTACAGAATTCAGTAATTTATTTCCTCCTGACCTTATGAGACATCTTTACCCAAGTAAATACACCCTACATTCTCTTTTCCACCATTGGGCATATACCTGGACAGGCATTCCTCTTTATTTCATTTATAGCTCTGAATGTCCCCATTAGCTCATCTCCCCTGTGCTGTGTGGGCACCTCCTCTTGCCTGTGGTGACTCGGGCCTCCTCTCAGGCCAGGGTGACTCCCGAGGGAACCTTGATGGGAGCTAATATGCTTTGACATTTTGCCCCTCGTGTTGAACACACATCCTATTTGTAAAGAAAATGTTTCTTTGTTTTGCTTTAAATGTATGCTACGTGTGTGTGTGTGTGTGTGTGTGTGTGTGTGTGTGTTGTGTGATTTTTATCTCTTCTGTCTCACGTGTGTTTCTTCCTGGAAGAAATTTCTTCCTACTTTTGTCATGAATATGACTAGCACACAGAACTAAAAATATAAAAATTCCCCG